CGCACATCTCCATCAACCATGGGGCATCCATGATGAAGGCCCAAGGGCGTGTTGGTTCTTCCAGTAGGCGGTGCAGGCGTCTCATATGGTAAGGCCGGGGGTAAAGCACGAGGCGCTGTATCCCCTCGTAAGGCCGGGTCGCGACTGGCAGCTCATCCGAGGCAGAGCTGGATCCGGAAGGTGACGAGGCGGGCGAATGCAGCATAGGGCCCGGCCAGAGATTGCTCGACATGGCAGCGAGGCAGGCGTGCGGCACAACACTGGGGGGCTGTTGGAGGCAGTTAAAAACCCAAGGCCCGTTCCAAGTTCAAAAGCAGAGGGCAGTTTGGAGGCAGTTGGAGGACCGGAGGCCAGGTTCCAAGTTGAAAACGGTTGACGTTCCCGGTTTCGAGCCTAGAGGGAGTTAGAAGGCAGAGTCGAGAAACACACAGGAACAAAAACCTGAAGCGTTTTGTTGAAGCGGGGGGGTTGGGGGGGGGCCAGGGTCAGAAGCCAAACGCTTTATTTTGATAGGGGTCGTCGGGCAGCTATTGCCTGGCCTCGTTACAAAAACTTTAGATAAAGGAATCTTAGCTTTGGTGCCAAAATTTGGGGCTGGCTTGGAGACTTAGGATTTCAGGGCCCGACAGCCTCTCAGGCCTGAAGGCCAAGGAAGCCGAAGATTAACGTAAGCTAGAAGGTGCATACTTTCCAGCGCTGGCTATATACTGTTTTCATAGCCATATATTTCTCGGACACAAGTTTATATGTATAGTTCATACAGTTTACAAGAGAAGACAATGGCCACCTTAGCCGAGGGTCATTGCCACCCCCCGAAATGAGTCGCCTCTGCTTGGAATCCGCCACCGGAGGGCTTCGCTCGGGCACACGAGGCGCTGTGAAGGAGCTGACAAGGGGAGCGTTCTGAGTTCCCCCTGAGACCCTGAAAGCAGTTGCTAGACACAGACATGCCCCCCGGCAGTGGCAGTACACTTGCTTTTTGCAAGCGAACCGAGGTCTCATGTCCGAACCCTTTCCTCTCTGGGGACCCGGGCAAACTTCAGCTGCGCCTTCGACCGATCGAACCTCTGCACATGCAGCTTCTCCGGGATCTGAGGTGCTACGCATGGGTCTGCCGTCTGCATTCTAGAGCTGCCGTTCCATCGGCATGGTTCACCTGCGAATTGAGAAAATCTACATCCTAGAGTTGCCTTCTCCCACATTCGGGCCTGCTTGCGAATATGGATATACCCGTGTCATGCTGTAGCCCCCCCGGACATGAACCGATAGAGATGCAGCACACAGCACCCTCCCTGAATCCGTGAACTCCGTGGAGGATCTTGAAGGGGCCTTCCAGGAGCTTCCGATGTGATCGGCTTGAACTTGCGTGCAAAGGACTCCTGGAAGTTGCACAAATCCAATGCGCCGAATGCTTCTTGGGGAAGATTCCGACGTGGAGCGAGGTTGTTCTGGCAAGGGGCATGGCAGCAGTAGGCCAGTCCCAACATGTCCCCCAGCAGCGGAGGAAGTCGAACACAAGGCTTTTTCCATGTTTTTGTTTGACTCGGGTTTCTTTCTCAATTCATGGAGCAGCGCGGCAGGCCTACAATGCCCTACAAGCCGGGACCTTCGCTGGGAGCCGTCCTCGGCACCGCTGGGATCCTCGAAGAGCGGCAACGTCTCAACGACGGAAGCGGGCACCTGAGCCCGGGTATCCAAAAAAAGAAGCCAACTCAAATCCCTCGCGCTCAATTCTCGAAAAGCACACATGAGTACACCATCCCTGCCTCTCTCGAATCAAACCTTTGCATCACTCTCTCCCACCGAAGAAGGCACACCGTTGGCACCGTTGGGACCCTGGCGTAAAAGTCAGGCCAGGGGGCCGTCGGCGGCTTCTGCGACCGGCGGAGCGAGAGTGCGCTTGTGCTTTGATAGATATCTCTCTCTTCGCGTTCGAGGCAGAAGCCCTTCTCACCCAAACTTCCAGTTCATAGAGCATGTTGTGGCTGTAGCAGCTGTAGCAATTATAACAAAACCAATAGCATTGTCATAGAGAAGGCACCGCTCAAGATGGTTTGCCTGTGAGCCGAGCAGGTTTTGCCTCCCAGCCCTCCTTTGCCTGGGCTTCAAGCACCTTCCGCACCTCCAAGAGAGTGTTCAGAGATGGCCACCTGAAAGCGGCACGTCGGAAGCTGGTGACAAGGCAGCTGGCGTCAGCCCAGTGGCCCCGTGGTGTAAGCTCCGGGCCCCAGAGGGCTGTGCAGCAAGCACATGTGGAGCAGGAAGTCCACCACATCCACACCTTGGCTCAAGGAAATGCTCACCCACATTGTCGTGCGCCTATTGGAACACAAGGCATTTTTGAATACCTGGCTCCTGAAGGAGTTGCGGGGGTTGAGCTATGTCACGCATCCCAATGCTCATGCTCATGTGCTTCTAGTCTTGCATGTCTGCAGTGTGAACAGGTTCGCGTGCATGTGCAGTGTAGTGAACTCTTGCTTTTTTGTACTTTCACATCTGCACTGAGCCGGGGACAATTCGAGGAGTACGGGTGATCAAAGGTTGCTAGCCTCAGCGTCGGACGATAAGAATCTTGCCAGAGAGCACTGGAGAATGGAAGCTAAGAAGGTGCCTACGTTAAAAGGAGTTTTATCTTGGGCCAAGAGGCGTGCAAAAAAAAATACTCTCTGAGAGGAGAGACTCATTCATATGATTCATACGACGAGACCTAAGAACTCTTCCTAGAGAGTGGGGGGACAAAAAAGTGGAGCGAGCGCGTCAACTGTGACTTTCTCTCGGGAACATCAGAAAGCTTTTTCACAATAGCCGAATATCCACACAAAGCCCCCCCCCGGCACCCCCTCCGCCTGCGGAGTTCCTGCGTGAACTATTGGGCGATCAAAAGAGCCTCTGGGATTTTTCAAAGCAAAACTACCTGCGAAGCGAACCGCCCGATGACCTCACCCATGTATCACTGGGCACGCGCGCAGCGCTTTGAGCTTTGCAGCGCCGCAGCTGCGCCTACAGTGCGGCTTGCTGCAAGCCCCGAGAAATGAAGTCTCACATGGCAGCTGACACCGTGCCCTTTCAGCAAACTTTCGCCTACCTTCCCACAGGCATTGCAAAGTCGGACACAGTTCTGCGCAAGCAGCGGCTGATGCCCAAACTTGCAGGCGGGACAGTTGCAAACAAGGCTTTGCAAGCTGAGAGATCTGCCAGTTGCTTGGCACCTTCACTGTCCTCTTGTCACTTCCATCAGCCTGTGAGTAGAGACTGGGCTGCTCAGCTATGCCAGCTATGCATCGGTCAAAGCGAAAACATGGTGGCTACAGGCAGCACGTAGCTGCGTGCGAAGATTCACAGGCAAATTTCCGCACAGCTAGCGTGGAGAGCTTGTAGAGGTGCGAGTGGTTCTCAACACCTTTCTTGACTCCACGCCGAGCTGCCGAAGTGAGCTGCAGCAGGATGCCCAGGAAGTTGTAGCTCGGCAGCATCCTGCGCTTGGAGCCGCTTCAACTTCGGGTTTAACCCCCCTTTGCAACGCCATCTGTTGCAAACGAAGAGACAGAAAAACTCTTTGTTTTGTTGTCAAAGAGAGCAGAGGGGCTTCTGAGGTCTGCTGTCGCTGGCCTCGAGTTAGAACCCCCCCCCCTGTCGAACGGAGATCTGAGCTTCACGCAACCTCGTGTTACAAGCAACCCTTATTTTGGGGCGGTAGCTGCTGGTTTAGGGTTTTGGGTTTAGGGACCTCTGCTGCAGTTCTCGTCGAGCGTGCAGAGCGTAGACTTAGACAAAAAACCCACTCGCCACTCGCCCACAGAATCCCAGAACATTAAGAAAAGAAAGGGTCCCTTCCACAAAAGCAAAGCCAGGTCCCCCAGAGGGACCAACTGGCTAACAACATTGGTCCCCTTTCTCTGCGAAAGCCCCCGCTTTGAACCTCTTGAACCTTTGATGAACCTTGAACACGTCCGCAAGTGCAAAACGAGTTCAACCGAGGTCAGCTGCCTGCAGGTTTCGGAGACGCCCCGGCAGGCATGGCTGATTGCCTGGCGAATGGAATTTCATGGAAGCAGGGAGACGGCCCTCCAAAAAAAAGTACGAGTCCCCTTCGAAAGAGGAGATCACCACGAGATCCAGATATACAAGCAAGCTGAATTGGCTCGTGCAACGCATGGCGAAATGCTCCGAGTATGTCAGGCACTTTGCGATCATCTGATGCTCGGCTTCAATGCTATCTGTTTTCAATAGCTCGCAGGCCTGCCATACAGAAGATACAATATTCTGGTGTGACAACAAGTCAAGCTTGCCTAAATAAAAATGTGTGTGTGTGCACGCATCTGTAAGACCCCTCTACATATACTAGATTTCTTCAGATAGAAACACACATGCGACAACCCCCCACCCCCTCCTCTGCACAAGACGAACAGCTGTCCGCACGTCCAATGGCGCCGCCGCTGAAGAGGCACCGGGAAGAAGCACCGCAATGTGCCGTTCAATTCCTTTGTTCCCCAGAAACCGCCGCCTCCATCAGACCCTGCAGCTGCTCGATGGTCCACCGGAAAGGTGACAGACCCTGCAAGGGCTGCAAGCTGTTTCCTAAGTAGGCAGCCAGCCAGGTCTCCTATCCTCTGTTCCAGGATCTGAACAGCACTTTGAAACTTTGAAACACTTTGGCCTCTCGGTCCCAAATTCAAGAGGCACCGTGGCCTCGACAGGCGGCGGTACCGGGGGCGGCTTCGGCGCGCGGAGGAGCGAGTTCGGCCTCTGCTTCCGCTTCGGAGCTTAGAGAGCTCGTTGCGTGCTTCGAAATTGAAAAGACCATACTGAGATACTGTACTGTCTCTCCACCTGTGAGTCCACTTTGGATTGACATTCTTGGGCTCACAGGAGGGCATGCCCCAATCTAGCCTCCGATGAAGATGGGCGTTCTCCAAGCTCAGCTTCGTCTGCGGGGCAGGACGCCCACTCTCGCGACATTGCTTTGCTTGCCACGTACCACGTCCAGTTCCTTCTTCATATCATGACATGTGATATTCTCTTGGTCTGCGTGCTTGGGCCTTGATGAAGTCCTCGCTTTCCACATGATCCTGTCAAGCAAACTGACGTGTCATCTGGGAGTGCAGCAGCAGGAAACAGCGAGAAGGAGATTCCGTTGCTGTGGTGTGGGCATTTCGAAGCAGAACTATAGGCTTTGGTGTCATGCAGGGCTCTCAAAACCGACAAGAGTTGTACACCGATAAACTCAGCCCCTCAACAGGCGCACGAAACTACTGCCTAAGTGCCTGTAACGTTGAAATTCGAACTCGAATCTGTTTTCATGTAGCAGCCCTGCTGTGCTCAACTTTGCGCCTTGACAACATCGATGAGGCAGGACACGGCCTCGAGGTCTTTGTGCCTAGCGATTCATGGAGCTGGGATGCGGCATCGCCGTTAGAGGCAAAACCGCATGCTTTCAAGTTTTCAAGCGCCTCCTGAGGACGACCCAGTCATTGAGCTGCCCAAAGGTCGCTTTCGTGGAGCTCGCCGCCTCAACAGAGGCGCTTTTGAAGAAAGAGCCGTTTGCAAAACCATTGGAAAGCCGTGCCTGCTGTAGCCGGCGGAGAGCCCAGCCACGGATGGTGGTGAGCCTCCGCGTGAGACTCTGCCCCCCACGCTGTCAGACACCGTCAGGCGCAACACCCCGTTGACCGAGGACAGCCCGGAGGAGCCCCACTGTTCGCGCCTGTGGCCGAAGGTCACACGCTCCGAGAGCAGGGCCTTTCGCCGAAGAAGGGCGAAAGAGAAGGTAAAAAAGGAGGAGAAAGGAGGAAAAAGACTAGACATAGAGAAGGAGAAAAAAGAGAAGAGGAGAACGAGAAAAAGAGATGAGTGTGAAAGGAGGAGGAGGAGGAGGAGGAGAGAGGAGAGAGGAGATACGAGAGGAGAGTAGGAGAAGAGACAGGAGAGTGCGAGAGTTGGAAGTCCTGCTGGAGGTCCACAAAGAGCGGCGGCGCCGGTTGTGGCGGTGGTGGCGGGGCCTGTGGAGGACATTTGACAAAATGGTTCCCGCAGAGCTCACGAGAGAAGGCTTCCGGAGATTCCCCGAAATATTTACGAGAAACAAGCCAACGACTGCGGTGACTCGATCTTCACTTCGTCGCACGTGTGCCTCCTCCTCCTTCGCCTTGGCCTTCGCTTTGGCCTTTCCCTTGGCCTGGACTGGAAAACGATGCAAGAGAGCACTGGATGCGAGAGCGGAGCCATGGCCTGTGACGCTCTCAGATCCATTTCCACACCACACTCCGTCACTGCTCCGTCACCCTGCCTTGGCTTTCGCCTTGGGATCCTCTTTCTCCTCTTCTTCGGGCACCTCGATTGCCAGTGCCCGGCGCAACAGCCCCTGCTTTTGTTAGCGAAGGTGCCCAAAGCTTCCGCCCCCCCCCCCCCCCCCCCGAAACTCACTCTGGGGCGGTGCCATTGGGACTTGGATCGCGGCACTTGCTTCCAGCGCTGGCGGCTTGAAATCGTCCAACCTCTTGTCCAGGAGCTGAAAAGATTATGAAGGGGGCCTTTCCTCAACAGAACGGAAGGCCCGCGCGGTGTCGAATCAAGCGCACTTTTTGGGGCCCTGGCTTCCACACTGCCTTCTGCGCCTGATCCATCAGGTCCTGGCAGCCGCATACAAAAGGGTGCTGGCCCAAGCTTCTCCACAGGGAGAACGGATAACACAGAAGCAAGATGAAAAGGAGGCTGGACCGGAGTGTGGAAGCAGCCGCATGCTTTGGAGGGATAGAAGGCTGAGAGAATGCCAACGTCTTTATTCTTTATAATCCTCAAAGCCTCAAAGCCGCTCCAAAACTGCGCTTCACCGCTCCTGACCGCCCGATGCCTCTAAACTCTTGGATACGCAATGTATGTACATATTTTGCCTCATTCTCCTTCAAGCTTTCTGAGGCTGGAGCAGAAAGAAAGGGAAACTCCCAGTGGCCGCCGCCCGACCTCGTAATCGCCAACAATGCTTCAACCCATTCCACGCTGCTAGAATTGTTGTAGCATGTTGTAGCAAGCCGCGTGATCGGGCCTTTCGGCCCTTCAGCGAGGTCCCGCCCCCCCCCCCCCCCCCCCCCCGAGAGATTGAGAGCCTGAGGTCGCCGCTCCTCCTGGACCCACCGGCACAGCCTTGCAGCGGCCTCTCAACAGGAAAAGGAAGAAAGACTTTAAACTTTAAGCCTCAGAAAGCCTTAAGATCTACATGTCAGTGAGCTCTTCGAGATGGGATTCGGGGTGAAGAGGAGATAAGAGGAGTTGATGCGGCCCAGCTCAACATGCAGGTGGGTTTACTATCAAGAACGAGGAAGAGAGCATCTGGGAGACGTCGGGGACTTCGGCAGGATTCATCTCAGTTCGTCAAACCATGAACTTTCCTAGAGGGTCCTACCACTGTCCTACCTAAACTTCTATCAGCTTCCTTAGCCAAACCCTTTCATTTCATCTCACATCTCCCCGCCTTCTCCTCGGGGCTGATGACAGGCTCCTGCACCCCGAATTCCCAAAGGTTCAGCCCCCAGGCATTTCTTTCAAACGTGGCAGTACAGGCAATACATGCTGATGTTAAAAGGCTTCGTAAGGCTTCTGTTTGTCCATGTTGATCCCTCCCCCCGGTGCTCCTGAGGCTCGTCCTTGTCCTTCTTCTTTTTGTCCTTATCCTGTCAATGGAACCGAAACGATTGAAACCACCCTGAAAACAATCAAACTCGGAAGCGACTTGTGAAATTGCCACCTTACTTGCGGCATGGCAAGTATGCTCACGACAGTGCCAGTGCAAACGTGCACCCAAGACGCCTCAACCTTGCCCCCTCCCCCCCCCCCCCCCCACACACATATCTTTGTTTGTGCCTTCTTCTTGGGATCGACTGGCTCTTCAGGCTCCTCGGAACAAGGGGGGAGGGGGCATCCAAAAAGGCTTCTTTAAGGCTTGGAGCGTCGCTTTCAGTCGCAGGTGTGCAGAGCTCTTCTTGTGTCCACTGTCGTTCCACTGTCGTTCCACTGTCATTCCACATATTCCATGAGTGAGGACATTGACTCAGCAAGCCAAGCACTCTGCCTCCACCTGGAAGACGTCCACCTTCGGTGGTGGCGCGTGCTCCTGCGCGAAACAGATGAGTTTGGATGCTTCAGCTATGAGACCTAGTCTGCGAAGCTGCGAGCGGAGGTTCTACTGAGATCATGGTTGAAGGTCGCACTTCATACTCTCGAACTTGGGCTGTGTGTCTCGGATCCCCCTCTTCTCCCACCTATTCGGCAAGGCTGACGAAATCCCTTGTGAATCCCTGAGCTTTGTTGATTTTTGTTGACTTCTGGTGCGGGCCTCTGGCAAACCCATGTGCATCGCAGAGTAGTAGAAGTCGTTCAGGAGTTGGCAGGTGGCATGGTACCGCCTCGTGATCCAGCTGCTTCTCGGCAAATCGGAGAGCAGGGCCATCTGAGCCGCAGCCACGCATAAGGCCCCTGCTTGACCTCCAGCTGAACCGCATGCTGGACCTGTGGCAGACTGGCACCCAGACAGGCGGACTCGCAGGCTCGGCAAACCATGGCAGCAAAACAGAAGACAGTGCCAGTTGTGTGAGGCAACCAGAAACTTTGACATTCTCTTAAGGGTGTGTGCTCCCTTCTAGTCTAAGAGTACTACGGGTCTCCTCATGATAAGCAGTATGCACCACAGCACTTCTCGGAGGAAGCCGACGGAGGAGACCACAGGGAGAGAGAGCACACAGAAAGATCACCCGCAAGGGAGGGTGAGTGTGGAAGTGTGTGCAGGAAGTATGAAAAAACACACAAATGAAACAAGAGCTTCCTCTCTTGCCCCCCCCCCTCCATTCGGACTCGAATCGAAGCAGACGAACACGCACCCCTTTTTTGAGAACTCCGCTCTGCGATAGCCATCGAAAAAGGCTTCCCTCAGGCGGTTTTCTGCTTCTTCTCGCGCTTCTTCGCGGTCTCCTTCTGCTTCCTGAGCTTTGGGGAGGCTTCACTGAGGGGGTTAAAGTCGTGTGCTTGACGTCTGAGTAGAAGCAGTGGTGACTCGCTGCTGAAGGGGTCTACGCACGCCTACACCATGTGCGCCGACACCATCTCTCACACACACACACATCAAAAGAAGGCCATCAGCCCACCGACCTCTCACCCTTATAGGGGCCACAGGGCCAGCGCTTACTCGTATGGGACAAAAAACATCAATTCACAAGCGGATCGACAATCATCTGAAGCACATGGAACCTTCTGACTGTGGCCATGCGTGATTTCGGGACACGCCGAACGGGCCAAAAGAATGCCAACTGACCTTTGAGCTGACGTGCTTAGCTTTGCTTCTCTGTGCTTCGCTTTGCTTCGCAATTCGAGCCGAGCAACTTCTCCTCTTGCCGCTGCTGCCATCTGAGCGATGGTCACTTGTGATTCACTGCAGTGGTTCACTTGAGGAGGCCCTCGGAAGTAGAACCACTCCTCTTCTGAGGGGCTGCGTGGTTCACTTCAGTGGTAAGTTCAATGGTGGTTCACTTGTTCGGCACCGCCCTGAACCTCTGAATCCAAGCCTGCAAGCCTGCAAGCTTTTGGCCCAGCCGGTCAACACACAACGACTGCATCCAACTGCTGTGTCTTAATGCAATTTACGCAGTACCGTTGAACGAGCTCCTCGTATGGATGTGTGACAGCCAGCACGATACCTCTGCAAAGTACACGAGCCCTGATGAATACTTCGCCCATTCGTTCACGCCGAGGCGAAAAAGGGACCCCTCCCTCCTCGTACGCCCCACGGCTCTTCGACAAAAAAAGCAAACGACTTGACAAGCGGCTCGTGCATCGCTTGTGTCCAGTCGTGGCAGGCATCCTCGACGTACAAGCCGTGACGGATGAATTCCTGGATTGCTTGGATTGCTTGCATTCGGTTCGGCTCCATGAACGACTGGTTCTCGCTTGCAAAAGTATCCTATTGTGCCGCCGTTGACAGGGAAACCTCTCAAGACTTGCGGGAATTGAAAGCTTCTGCTCCTGACCATGTGTGTACATGTCCGTCATGGTGATGAGCCACTCCTGCAAGGTGTTCTCCACATGCAAACACCTAGTAAGGAGTGAGACCGAAGCGATAGCTATTATGGGGCAACGCTGTTCCGGTATCTCGTTCTCATGCTGAGCGGAATGTTTGATCCAGCCTCCCTTGCCGGTGTCAAGGAAGCTAGGTGCTTCATGATCTTCCAGGATAGGTACCTTAGAGCAATGCCGCAAGCAGCGCACAGGAAGCGTTGGTAGTCAAACAGCTTACGAACGAGGCCTGGAGGCCAGGGCCTCTGGAAATGTGGACATCAACCGCGGCACCATGCTCAGTTATGCGCAAGTTCTCCGCAGTGTTTGGCGCTGTGTACAGGACAGAAGACAGAATGCGGCAATGAACGTGAGGCAAGAGCTTGCAAGAACTCCGGCAGCGAAGCCGAAGCCGCTGCAAATGACTCGCATTCCGAGGGAACCTGGCAGCCGAGCTGCGCATCTTCGGCCAAGTAGGTGAGCTGCCTTGGCTGCTACTCTGCTACTTGCCTACGCATCACCACACCCTGATACATGGATGCCGCTCTAGGAGGCGCCACGGGACGAACACATGCTCCTGTGCCTGAAAATGAAGTTTGGCATGTGCGTTGCCTTTCCTCGTAACTGCTCAGACAGCACATTCATGTAAGCTTATTGCAGAAAACCGCAGCCACCTTCGACACCTCTGGCAACGTTTCAAGGTTGTTGAAGTTGTGCTTGCAACAAACACTTTCTCCCAGCCAAAATATCGATATCTGCACCTCAACATACCTCAACGTGCCGTGTTCGGGCTCTGGGTTGGGGGTCGGCGGCCAACATGCCATAATGGTGTCGAAAGGATGGAACATGGAACTTGGAAATCTCGGACGTCAACTCCGGGCCCAAAAGGGTGAGAGAAGGGGCAACAGAGCCTCAACCGGGACGCTGCTCGGAGAGTGGCCTCTGGTCCCAGTTTGAGCGGGTGACGGCCTCGCCAAGCACAATGCCATTCACGTGTGAACAACATTTGCAACAAGGCTTTTACAAGCGCGCAGCACAAGCCAAGGGTCATTGAATCAAGGACACTGGAACATCCTGGAACCCTGGCCTTGCTTTGCTTGACTGATGTCCCCAGCAGGCTGTTTCCGAGGCCCTCCAGTCCTCCTGCGTGCGACTTGGGGGGTATCGTGTGTCGTCACATGATGTTCACGGGCGCCTTTCACAGGTGGCTGTCCCGAATGCGCCCGTTGGGCTTCTCATCTTCAGAGTTGGGGGCTGTGCCATGCTTTGCAACTACTGTAACTACTGTGCGTACAACACGAACTCATCTGGAAGACTCGTCTGAGCTCTCGGGGTCTCCTTTCAAGACAATCTGCTTCGGCCAGGCGGTCAAGAAGTCGATGCCTTGGACCTGGGCGGCCATGATGGTTCCACGCTCAGTATACAGTATACTGTACCGAATGTAGCTCGCGTTGCCGCGAGCGTGCGCTGGTTGCAGAGCAGGGGATACTGTATACTGAATACACAATCATTGTAACCCTCCCTACCAGGCGCCAGCCCCTGATGGTCTCTTCCCCACCGTGGTTTTAATGTTGAAGCACACACGCAAGCTCCAAGCACCTCCAGATAAACCTCGGCAGAGAGACCACGCAGTCGAACTCGAGTGCCAGCCGCGCCGCATCAGCAGCCTCCGTGCACAGCGTGACGATTTGGCAGATATGGCAGATGTGGGCAGGGCTTCATGCGGATGACTTCCGACCTTGAGTGCTTGCCGTGATAATGATCCCATCAGCCGCAATTTCTGAACGGATGTTCTTGCTTTTCCCCATGACCTGATGCAACCAGGAAGCGAGGCCCATACCATAGAAGGTGTGCAGCTCGTTTTCGAGGAAGCTCCTGAGAGACACCTTCCCTTTCGCCCCAAGATGATGCTGGGGATTTCCGAGAGAAAAACTCAGAAGCTGCTACTCTTCAAGTCGATGCATACCGACTCTTCCCCCCGTGCATACAGGATCATACAGGCTTGAAAATCTTGTTTCAATTCTGGGAGTGAGGAAGGCTCCCTCGGTACAGGATTTTGTGCCGCGGAGTGCTGTTGCGGCCAGGTGGCCAAAGAGCATCGAACAAAGGCTTCGGCCATTTCCTCCGCATTGGAACTAGGTCGACGGCCAGCACCTCTCAGGGACAAGGTTTGACAAGGGCTTCACGCCCTCGCTCACACTCCGCATCACTCCGCTCCTCCCTTCCAAGAGTATCACTCTTGGACGGCGGTACGTTGGCTGAGAACGTACAGAAATATTGCCAGATGCTTTTCATTGTCTTGCCCTCTTTCATTGAAGACCGACGAAAGCTCTGCCAAGGCACCCACGGGCCATTGCAGATCGTCAGGATGGCCTCTACTGTTTAATCAACCCAAAGGCCATCAAAGGCCATTCCAGGAATGTCACGAAACCCTGCTCACGTTGTGACCACCGCTCGCGTTCGCGCACCTCCCGGGCAACCCCTCTAAGGGTGACTTCCAGGGTTCCGCGCTGCCGCGCTGCCAATGCGACGAGGCACCGATCGACTTGGCGGCGCCCCCTTGATGAAGCCGGGCTTCCACTCCTTTGCAAACACACTCGGGGAAGCTTGGATCAAGAAACCCCATAATATGGAATATGAGGATTCAATTTTCAAGACTCTGCCCGCAGATGAGCCTAGCCGCCTAGCCGTTCTGAGTGTGACACCCACCCCCCCTTCAAACCTGCACTGGCACACAAACAATACGTCAAGGCTCCATGTCCAAGCCGAAATGGTAGCGGTCGTGCCATCCCAGGAGGAATTCCTCAATCTCTCCTCGTGTCACTTGCGGCACTTGCATTGCAACCACCCTCTTTCATCAGAGCCGGAACCCTTGCAGAGCAATACCCAGCAGCATGGAGAAACACTGGAGAAACTGTCTGCAAGCGTGGTTTGGCGCGGTCTTCACATGTTTTTCACTGACTAGAATAACAGGTCTTTGCCTTGAGGAGCTTTGCTGAAAAAGGGTCGCTCATCGCTGGTGAGGCGAAGCTGGATGTCCGGGAGGCCGCAGTGGGCAGCGATGGTGCGGGAGACGCCCATGGCTTCTCAACTCGTGTGGGATTTCGTGGTCTTTGCGGGCATTTGCTGCTGGAGGCGAAGGGCTTCAGTTTTTGGGGCGCGGGATGGGCTTGCAGCTGAAAGCTTCGACGTGGAGTCCTTGCACGGCTGGATGGTCTGAGAGCGTGAATGCAACTTGCGTGTCAAACTCTGTGTCTGTCCGTCTAGTCCCACGAGGGCACCGATCATGTTTCTGCTCTCCGAGCTGCAGAACTCCGCCCTTCTGACGTGTGGTGCTTCGGACAAATGGCAATTGAAAGGTGAACATGTTGACATTGCAAGGAGGGGGAATATTTGGGGGAGCAGATTTGTTGCCTCTCACCCCCTCCTTCCTCTAAAGAAGAAGAAACCCTCAGAAGAACCCTTGGTCCATCCTAGGCCCCTTGAGAAGTACACCGCAAGTACACCGCGGCCCTGCCTGGGAGGCCAGGACTTCCGTCTGCGACTCGAGCCAGCGGCTGGTCTGTAGCACCTACCACATGGACAACAAAAGCGCACACAGCACAATCAAGGCACACACACACACACACACCCACGCGCGTGCGCATAAAAAAGAAGAGAGAGAAGCACACACAAAGTGGAAGGAAAGGAGCAAGGGGGGGGGGGGGGCCCCCCCTTCACCTTTCTTCTGCTGCTTTCCCGGCTCTCGTTACTCGTGTGCAACGGTGCACTTTCTCTTCTTCTTCTTCTTCTTCTTCTTCTTCTTCTTCTTCTTCTTCTTCTTCTTCTTCTTCTTCTTCTTCTTCTTCTCTTCTTCTTCTACGGGGCTTGCAGGGCCCAAAGGACCCTCCGCGCACACGAGCGCGCCCAGGTCTCTCAAATCCGTCCAGTTGGTGAAACTCGGACTCACACACTACCCAGCGCGACATACTCCCCCACGATTCCTTTGTCAGTTCCTTAAAGTACCTAGCGCAACATTTCGCACTAATTAAGGAACTGTCTTTCTCTCTCTCTCTCTCTCTGACTCTCCGCCTCTTGTTCCATTTTGTTCCTTCATGCCGCGGGTGGGCAAACCCGCGCTGAAAAAACTTCAAAGGAGGACAGAGCAACAACTTCCCAGATTTGAGCTCGTCCCAATTGCGTCCGCCGGCGCCTCCAGCTGCTCCAGGTTGGCCGTCCGCTGGTCCTCCACCTGCGTGGACGTCAACGCTTTGTTTTGCCGCTGGACCCAGGGTTGCTGCGTGGGGGGATTGGTTCAACGAGAAGGGCTTACGTTAGCTTCATGTTCCGCGCTTCCTGGCCGTCGGCCCTAAATTGCTTCTCTACTTCGACGCGGGTTGCCGGTCCGCCTCTTGAACGCGGCGCGAATCAGTCAACACTACTTACTTTGCAACAGTTTGCCATACTTTGCCTAAGCATGACTTAATATGCTTAATATGCCTTTGCCTTTGTATGGTCGCTGACCGTTGTTGCTATGTTCCTTGGCAGCCATTTGTGCTTAAGCTTGCTTCAGATTGTGGGTTCAAGACTTCTGTCTTGCATCATGAAAGCACATTCTTTGAACTTGTATGAGCTTGGAGGAGCTATCGCCCAGTTAAGTTGCTGAAACTCAATCATGGCCCTGAACTAATACTCCAGGACCCGAGTTGCGGCCCTTCAATCATTCAGACCCAAGCTCTTTGACCATCTTAGACCTTCTAAAACCCACCGGTTGCGCACTTCGGTCTTCAGCCGGCTGTGCAGCTCGTCCGCTCGCAGGTGGAACTCTGCCTTTGTGGCATCCTGCCAAGTGCCAAGCAGAAACCAACCCTACACAACTAGTACACATAGTACACCTGAACTGCTCCACCAGGTCCTGTTTGCGCATGTCCGGATACTCTTCCGTGAAGGCGTTGAAGCTGAGGACCTCCCACAGTGTGCAGCTCATTTGGCCTAGATTCTGTCGAATGCAGCACATGCTTGGCCACCGGGCAAAGTCGTCCACTAGGGACTGCTTCCCGTCCACGCGCTGCAAGTACTCTGCAAAGCGCTGCTTCATCTGAGCGACAAACGCGCCAATCGTTATGCTTAGACGCCTAGACGGTCAGGTGTCATGGGCAGAGCGTTGAAGCTTCCTTGCTGTTTGTTGGGCCAGATAGTTTTCCACAAGGCCCCTCTTGAGGGCTGAGGGCCATGATCGCAATGGTGGAGTTCCGAGCCCAGGAGAGAAAGTTCTGAGCCGTGCGACGCCGTAGAGGCCGCTTCGGAAGTCGGACAGGTGGCATCGGTGCCTTGCGCAAGGGCCCACAAGGCCAGCAAGTTCTATCACTCCTGCTGTAAGCCCTATTTGAGCCAATGCGGTTCTTCTACCAGAACTCATGCGGCAGTAGAGCTCCGTACAGCTTCAAGCTCAGACTTCGACTTGCAGGGCCAAAGCACAGGGTCCAACCTGAGATCCTGGCCAATTGAATAGCTGATGCAACGAAGCCACGAACTCATCCTGGAGCTCCGTCCACTCCTCACAAGAGATATGCTGGATATCACACCTGAAAAAGCGGTCCTGCGTTGCACCTGAGTGGCTTTTAAGTGATTGGGTGGTGATGGTAGCGGTTCCGAGGACCCCCCTTAGCAGACCCTTTCAAAGCACCTGCATCAGGAGGTTGAAGACCTGATCTTCGATCTTCTCGACGAAAGAGGGCCTTTGGATGTCCGGATCCCGCAAAGTCTACAAGAGTCTACAAGCTCTACCTGCTTAATGTTCAATCTGGGTCAAACTACGCCAAGCTGCCACGCACATAGTATACAATGCGCATTATTATGCTTACACTGACTTGTAGCCTTGTGTTTACAATATGCAATGCGTAACATGTGGAATTTGTATCTGCCTGGTAGAATGTCATCCGTACACGCTTGGATCCAGGAAGGCCAGATCCCCCCGAGAATCGAAAAGCGGCCGGGGCGGGCAATCCAGGGCCCGCGCAGCTCCCGCAGCTGGACCGGCTCGAAAGGCGGCTCCGGTGGAGGATCCGTGGACTGACGTGAGGAATGCGTCTTTCTTTTTTGTTGATATTCTATGCTATGTTCTATATTCTATACCGTTTTCTTCGATGTATTCTATATTGCATTCTTTTTCGTACTATATCTACGCGTACATGACAAGTGCTCTGCACAGACGCCTCGGCCGTGTGGCGTCAGAGCTTGCGGGACTCCCTCATGCCCCTCCTCCATGGCCAAACCCCCTTAGCCCTGTTACCAGGTGCAGGGGGGAGAGCAACGGATGTCTGTTTTGGGCATCGCACACCTTGCCTTGTTATGTGGCGAGACACTGTCGAACTGGAACGTCTCAACCGTCCCACTGCACACAAGGCAGGCAGCTCGGCCGGCACTGGCCCAAGTTGTCCATGCTAGGGGCTTTAAGCTCATGGGCATCAAGATTGCCAGCGCACGCTAGTGAGAAGATCAAGCTGTGAACCCTTAAGCACTTAGCCGACTCAGCCCTAAATTGGAAAACCGCCGATTTTTGGAAATCGTGGGAACCAAGGGATGCCTTCAGCAGGCGGCGCAAGTCGAAAACTCCATGACCCCCTTTTGAGAGTCCATTTCACTTGGATCTGATCCCTGCTAAAAAAGGCTGGCGTTTGAGGATGTCAGAAGGGCAAAGCACTCCTTGCTGGCCCGCGCTGGCGAATCTCGATCGCCGTAAAAGCAGGTCAAACGCAGGTCAAAGCTGCGCTTCAGCACGCTTCTAAGAAATTTGCGGGAGGCATCCTGTGAGCATTACTGCTGAAAAAGATTGCTGCACTGTCCACGTCCCTTGGGTGCCACCCGTGCCATGCTTACACATCACTGAAGCGTCCAGAGCTTCCAGAGTTTACAAGCTGCTCCGGGTTCGCGTTGGCATCTCTCCTCTTCCTGGTTAGTACTCATCTAGGAAAAGCACCCCTTTCATACTGTCTTCAGGAATAGGAACTTGGATACGATTGCTGAGGGAAAGCATGTCTGGCTGCTTGGAACGGCTAGCTGCTGGCCTCCGGTTCTTCGGCTGGGGCAGGCTCGGCGGGAGGGTCTGCCGCGGCCTGGAGTTTGAACTAAGGCAGGCCACGGGTGTTGCATGGTGCTCGCCACAGGACCAACCTTGACGTGACCCTTCTCGGACATGTAGGGCCAATGTAGGTTCTGCCAAGGCGCCTCGGCTCCATCTGCCGGCTCACCTGGGGCCTGCAAGGAATCAGGGCTCAACGCAGCCCACAGTGTCCCGAAGCACCCAGAGAAAACAAACATCCCAAGAAGAGTCGCGCTGAGGATCCCAGAGGCCCTCCCACACGGGCCACACGGGCCGTGTGCCTCCTCTTGGGCTTCCTTGGCCTCCTCCGCTGCCTTCTGGGCGGCCTCGGCCTTCGGTTGCTTACGGCTTCCCTCGAATATTCCACTATACGTACACGGTTACGATACACATTGAACGTGTCTGCAACATGATGCCATTGTTTCACAACGCAGATGGCAGGTGCCGAACATTTTTTTGCAGGAGCTCAAACTTCCATCTCAGCGTGCCTTTGCCATCCCTGCATGGATTGTCGCTCGTCCTACCTCGTCCTACCCTCTCCCCCCCCCCATTACCTGCTGCGGACTCTCCTCAATAAACTCCGGGCCTCCTCGGCCTCGGCCTTTTGCTGCGCCAGCACTTCCTTTTTTCGGGATGCGAGGTTTGCTCGGGCTTGCTCTGCGGAGTCCAGAGCATACCTCTTTTGGGTGCCTTGGTTGGGTTACAGATTCTCTTCTCACGCTTGAGACACGCATGTTCAGCAACTCTACTTATAGAGGTCTCGCCGCAGCAAAATAGAAATCTCTGAAGATGGAGCTGCGTAGAGCAGACCTGCTGTTCAGCTTGGAGTGCGTTGAGGTGCCTAGGCTGAACTAATGGCCTTCTTCCGCTCCAGCAGGAGCGCCACCTGTGGCAGGATGCAAACAGAAAAGCTTAGCGAGGGGTTGCGAAGGCAAGTTCAAGGCAAGCCTTCAACGGTTCCTCAGCGCAGTCAACCCTTCTCGTATGCGCATCCTGGACGCCAATGCCAACCTCAAAGCTTAACTGTTTGGTCACCTCTGATGAGTCCATTGAAAGCCCTATGCCTAAAAACAATTCGTCATACTGAACTCCCGCCTTCCGCGGCTTGAACTCTGTTGAAGGCCCACATTCTGGGGAAATACACCGAACGGCCCATGTCATCCCTGCGGTGCGTGGAGTTCTCTGGGTCTACAGCTCTCTATGGTAACCTTCAAAGCCCTTCCACGGAGCAAACCCTAAACCTTAAACCCTAAACCCTCACGGCACCTGCTCCTCCACCGCTTCGTAGGTCGAGTCGCTGCTGCCGCTGGCATCGATCTGGCAACAGAGATCGAAGTGGGGGTTTACGAAAATAAGGGAACCCGAAATAGACCCCCAGATAGCAGGATTTCCTTATAGTAAGGACCCCAATAAGGTACCCCTAATTTCGGAAGTGGCAACTTCTAGATTCGTCCCGGTGGTCTGTTTTCTCTGTTCGCGTGTGCCATGGAGAGGGAAAGGCATGCGGGACTTTTACTTTGACTGAGCAGGCACAACACAAATGGCGCTTGTGAAAGCACTGTTGCACAGCAGGGCCACTAAAACAGGAGCAAACCGAAAACCTGCACTGGCAAAACAACCCTCGAAAGACGAGTTTGCAGGGGGGCTGGGTTGGGATCATACTGATTTCCGTGCACTGGAAAACCCCCGCAACCTTCTCTAAGCAACGTAGTAGCCATCCATCGAGTCATACAAATACAAGGCACATGGGCCATGGCATCTAAACTGTAAAATTTCAGCTCCACTATTCCAAACCCAAAGACATCCCATGCCCAGCTTTTCCCCCGACGACCCTTGAAAGGACGAAACAGCCAGTCCACTGCTTCTTCTTCTAAACAGCGGCTCTCTCTCTCCTGCTTTCTGATTGCCTTGCGCACTCCAAAGCAACCTGGCCTCCACCAGTCGGGGCACGTCGGGGTAAGGGCCGAAGTGGCCCAAGATCCCGTCCACCTGTGGGGATGCACAAAAGGGATGAATGCCCAAGAATGCCCAAAACAGTTTCAGGCCCTCGGCAGCCTCTGAGCCGAATTAATTTCTTGCGGAGCTTTCAGCAGTTTGCTTCTGCGAGCCCCGCCCTGAATCTCTCAGGGTCTGCATCAAGCTTAGCCTTAGAACTCAGAGCGCGCTCTGCCTCCTCTTGCGAAACGTCGAACAAGTGGATGCGCTGAGTAAGTGTGCCCATCGACCTTTTTGCGACTTGCAGACTGCAGCTCACTTGCACATCCAAACACACACATTTATGCCGCCAGGATCCACTATGCCATGCTACCATGTGCTCATCATTGCGAACAGCGCCCGCTTCGAGTTCCCGTCGAGCGTAAGCTTCTTTTCACAAGCTTCCATTTCGGGAAAAAAAGAAAAGCAAAGATGAGGCACGCTCTTGTTCCGGATCAACAGTACAAGGCAAGAACACTGGCGAAGAGCCCTGAAGCGTTGCAAACTCGTTGTTGTGAACTCTCGACGTTTCTGATAGGTCAGCCCGTGCTTTGACTCCGCCGATAAGACGGCGTCAATGTTGGAGAACTGATGCGATTGAGAGCTGCGGATTCTGGATTGACACTTAAGTTGAGGATCACGGTGCTGCTCATGGGTGTTGATGTCTCATCAGGTCCCTGACAAAAACCCTAGCATGTGGCACCAATGAAGACGATGATTGAACTGACTGAATCTGAAGTGAGTGGAGTGACTGGAACCATCAACCCCAGCATGAGCCGAGACACTTCTCCAGGCAGTCAGCGGGCTCCAGCCTTCGCTTGTCGGAGGACAGGATAGCAGGACCAGAAGGAGAAATAGCAGTCTCCGAATCTCGACCAGTGGATACTACGTGGCCCACGAGACAGCCGGCACTTTACGAACCTTGGGCGTCTGATGGCGACTTGAGCTTCCTTGGGTGGAACTAGGAGAATGAGTGCCATGTCTCAAATGTCTCAAATGTCTCAGATGTCTCACATGTCTCAGTTCTAAAGCTGGTGGCAGAGGTTACGTGGGGACGCCGCTCCCGTGTCCACCCTTTGGGGGTTATGCTGGAGGGTGCGACTAGCTCCCGACACACCCCACGTGACCAATAGCAGGACAAGACCCCGTCATGGCCTCTCGTAGATCACTGACTTCTTATTCGGAGGAGGATGGTCCTGGCCCACAGGCGACAAGGAGCTCGCAAGTTGGACTCGCATTGTGCCCCAGCTGAGCCGAATCCTCAACCCAAGGAGGCCCAGCATGGCACCGACCGAAAAATTTAAAGATCCGACTGCCGAGAATGCCAAGACCCCCTAGACGCACACATTTGAAAGGTTATGCCAACTCAACCTCCGAAGCCAACTTGAACTTGGAATTCCCCTAAGCCAGTCTTCCCCCTTTCCCACCACTCGCAGAATTCCTTCTTGTCGCAATCCGAAACTGAAAGATCCTGAAAGTGGGCTCGACGCCCCAACCTCGATGTGATACTCCAAGCTCGTCGTCGGATCGATCCCTGGAGTAATGTGGAAAAATGTGGGCAATATATTTGGGAAAATGTGGAAACATGCGGGAACATGTTGGAAAATGTTGGGATTTGCGGTAAGGGCTGAGGGTTGTCTAGTGTCCCAGAGATGCCGAACGCCTCATGATGCCTCCCCGGAAAGCAGGCCCCTCTCCTGAAGTCCCCACTCTCCCATGTTCTCCCCCCTGTCGCTTCTCGGCATCCGGGCGCCGACCGCAGGCGCGGCGCACCGACTCATTGAGCGAGAGGTCGAGCCGGAAGTGCAGATCGTAGCCTCGACAAGCGGGTTGTCAGAGAGCGGAGGCACGACTGAAGGACTCTCGAGAGGAAATGTGCGAGTATGCAGCCTTCTCCAAATTTTAAAAAAGGGGGGCCCACCGGCCTCCCGGCCGCCTCACTGCTTCTTCTGGCTCCTGACAAACGGCGTCTCGCAGAGGTCTGGGGTGTGGTAGGGGTCTTTCTGATGAGGACTTGGACCCGGTTCTCTGCAAATCGCTTTCAGAACTCAGTTCAAAACTCACCTGAGTTGGTGACTCTAAGATGTCTAAGGCTATCTAAGGCTGTCGCCCTCGAAAAAAGATCTAGAGTTTTGACCATTCTGATCTGTGCAGCTCCCAAGGCCTCTGGCGGACGGGGTGCGATGATCTCGGCCTGGCGCAGAAAAGGTGCAAAAAGCGCCCCGGCTTTTAGAGGGCTGTCCGGCGCCTTCGTCATGGGAGTCCACGCCCACCCCCCCCATGCCCCCCCACCCCACGGAATAAGGAGACCAAAAAAAAATAAGGGCTTATTAGCCGGATAATAAGCGCTTATTAGCTGGTTAATAAGCTCTTATTTCTCAGTTGAAAAATAAAGGCTTAATAGCTGGCTAATAAGCGCTTAATAAGCACTTATTAAGGGGGTCTTATTTCTCAGTTTGCCAAAAACGGGATTTTTCCTTATATTACCTTTATTTATACGCTTATTTTTTCAAGAGGCGTTTTCTGGGATGTTGGGCTGAAATCTGGAAATTTCGCGTTTTGGGGTGCCGATCCGCGGGCGCGGCCGCCGAGTACCCTTATTTTCCGCTTATTTCTCTGTTTCGCTTTGTTGATCCTGGCTGGGGAGGGGGGGGGGGGGCAGGACAACCTCAAAATTGCTTGAACCGATTTGCTGGTTGTATGTAGGTGTATGTGCGAAGTGCCCCAGAACCTGAGTCTCGGGTTAAGACATCACGCCGTTATATAACCTGATTCAGCCTGCGCGATTCGCTTGCCCCTGGCTCAAACACTGTAACACAGCATGCGCAGCAGCCTCGAACTTGAGAAGAGCCAAAAACACATGTCAGGGCTTAGGAGATTCCAGGGGTACCTTGATTTGCTGCGATTGAATCAAAGACGTTGGGATGTGAAACTTGGGTGTACCGCTAACCTGAGCTCGTTGGCATCCAACGACTTTGTGCTGCAGGCTTACTGCAACCCTTGAATCCTAGAGATCGTGTCAGGAAAGGTCCCGTTGAATTCCCAACCCTTCCGTGGTATCATGGGTGAGGATGGTTTAGTTCCGGACGACACAAGTGACATCGATGAGTCAGGCGTGCTCGCGCCAGGCGAGCACCGGGCTCCGGGCCCCGTGTTCCATTCTCTGGTGGAGGTGCCTGTTGCTTCGGCATCGGCTTCTGAGGAGATGCACACGCTTTTGGCGTACTTGAGCGAGGAGGGCCAAAGCGAATGGATTGCTTCGAAGGCCAGGATGGGGGGAACCTCTGCAGAGTCCGTATTTTCATTTCTATTGTGAAGCAGTTTACTCATGATTCACGCGATTCTTTGCAGGTGGGCTCTTTCATTCTGCGAACAGAGAGTGACAAGCGGGCCGTCGAAAGCTACCGCCGCGTTGTGGAGAAGGTGCTTCAGGGACAAACGTTTGGCGCATTGCTGTGTTGCCTCTCAATTGCCCCCAAATTAAATAATTAGCTGATTTTGGTGGTGTGAGTGTCTGTGTTTAGACCTAATTTGCTCTTATTTTGCCCTCAATTCGCCCCAATCGACCCATTACCCTGCCCTTGTATGACCTCCTTGTCTTAGCGCGTTGTTCCCTTGTTTGGCCCTTAGTTTGCCCTACTCTGACCCTTATTTTCCCTTATTTTGGCGCATTGCCGGTATTCGATCCTTATTTGGCCCTTAATCTGCCCTTATTCGACCCTTATGTTGCCTGGAGGTGCCCTTATTTGGCCCTAAACATGTTCTCATTTTGGCGCATTGCCCCTTGTCTGGCCTTTATTTTGCCCTTAATCTGATCCTTATGTTCTCTTATTTTGGTGCATTGCCTTTTTTCGACCCTTAGTCTTAGTTTGCCCAAATCTGAACCTTATTTTCCCTTATTTTGTCCGTTGCCTGTATTCGACCCTTATTTTGCACCCTAGTTACCCTTATTTGGCCCTTAATCTGCCCTTATCTGACCCAAGTTCGCCTTGTTTTCTTGCTGTTTGTGGCGTGTTGGCCTTAATTTATCCTTCTCATTGTCATTGGCCGGAGTGCTCGCCCTCTCTTTCATTTTTGCTCAGCTAGGAACCATATGACCAATAGTCCCATAGCTGCAGTGAGCTTCCTTTGCATTCATGGCCACCCGAGTTGACATGAAAGATTTCACAGAGCCTTCGGAAGCTGATGCCACGAGATCCAACACCAATGCCGGGAAAGACACGGAGCTCAACACTGGATGCGGCGTTACCCGAGAGTCAGCAGCAACCTCGAAGCCGCATGTGGAGTTGAACACGCCGCCCAGCCGCCGACGCCCTGCAGAACCAGATGATTCACAAGACTTCCTTCCAGAGACGCCAAACCCCCCAAGCAAAAAGCTTCGCAGGCTGCAGGGGGCTACCTCCCTGGAGGAGAGTGAGGTATTGGACAAATAGCTGTTCTAGTCGGGTCGCCAAATTTTTAATGCGCGCCAGAGACAGGCTGATGTAGGTAGGCCCCAAGAGTAATTAAATTAAAACCCGTTGTGTGGTTGTATAAACGCTTGGCTCTGCTGCTTGGTTTTTGCTTCTGCTGCTCCACCCACGGACCACTGGAGCAGTTCTTTGTGCAGAGACAGCCTCATGACAGCAGGCTAACCCAACCTCCCGGAAAAAAGAAGCCAGAAGCCACCGGATCTGTTGACCGATGCTCCCCAAACAGCCCCTGTCCTCCCCGATCTGTGCCAGGTAGAAGATGCTCACCGGGCAATGTGGCCCGGCGTGGCAATCAATCACCTGCAGCCGCGATTTGGTATAGGTTCTGGCGACGGCCAGAAACAATTTTTGGCAGAAAGAACGATGACCACAGCGCTTTTCATTTCTTATTTTGTCTATTCTATCTGGGATTATGGCAGAAACCTGGTGGAGCGGACCTACGCGTGCAAGGCCCTCCGTAACCTGCTGGCTCGCATGCTGTCATGTATCGGCGCCTGCGCCTTTGCCTTTCAGTTCCAAGGAAGCGGAAACGACGACCAGCACTGGACACAAGTCAGGGTGGGCGTTGATATGAGACTGGATGTCAGTTTGCTTTGGTCGCCGGAGTTCATGGACGCATACATTAATGAGGCATGGGCATCTGATATGGCGAATGGCAAAAAACCATGGCTGGTGAATGCGTTGGCCCTGGCCACGCTGGATGAGCTTATATGTTTTTCGCTGGACCCGAGCCATGACATCGTCCTCAAAAGCGTTCTGCTGCCGAACGTGCTGTGCCTCATGTGCCAGATTGCAAGCTTGCTCGACGAAAATGTATCGGCCCTGGCGAACACGACTTCGACGCCAGTGCGGTCGAGCAACAAGAAGAAGTTTACTGGGCTGTCCATCATGCAAAAGAGAGCGATCGGTGAACGCCTGTTCACTGGCAAGGACCGGGGATAATAATTACAGCACGAGCAGCCCTGCGACACAAAAACTAGCCGCAACGTGTGTTTCCCATTGTTTCCCTATAGTCGCACAGGACCGGTTCTTGGCCAAAGCCTTCGAAGCCGTTCTTGGCCGCGACGCTGCGAAAGACATGACGCACTGGGGAGCTGCTCACAATGCCATGGATGCCTGTCTGGAGATGGCAAAGTCTGTGGGGACGTTAATAAGATTTTATAATAAAAAATAGAGATGAACACGCCGAAAGCAACTAAGCTGGTGTACTACTACAACGCTCGAGCGAAGCTGGCAGACTGCAAAGTCTTTCACTTATTTCTGGACGCCAGCAGTGTGGCCAAGAAACCTACAGAATCTCGACTATTTTAGTAGACGCTCGCAATTTCCGCGATAAGCCGCTATCGCAGCCAACCCCCCCCCCCCCCCACCCCCACGCACCCCACCGCACCCCCCGACAGGAGCTGCTTTTCATTTGGGCTCCCGAAATCGGGCGCGGGGCCTTTGCCCCTCCAATGGCGGGGAGCTCAGCCGACACTCAGAAGGCAGCACCAGCGAACCTCCTGCCCCCCCCCCCCCTTTCCTGCTCGTTCCAGTGATCAATCGGTTTTGATTTGCGGAATGTATTGCTGGCACTGTGATGGCTCATGTGCTCCAATCATGAATAGTGGTGCTAGAAAGCTTATTTTTTGTGCTAGATAGCTTGTTTCTCCATTTAATTGATGATGCTGTGGGGCCAGCCATGTCGGCACCCTGGAATCTGAAGCAGATCCTGGAAGAGGACATGGGCGTGGGGCTTCGAAACTGCTTAAAATTTCCAAAGGAAAAGACACACGCAAGAATGAACCTATCTAACATAAGGAGGGACAGCTGAAGAATTCAGTTCTTGTGGCGGGAGGAGACTCGGGTTTTGAACCAGCAGTTCATCATGAGCTGGCAGTGACCCCAGTCGGAGGCGTCATTAAGGGGTGTTAAGCTGTCTGCACCTCAGTTTGCCACTATTTGACCCTTATTTTGCCCTTATTTTCTCCTTATTTGACACTTATTTTTGTCCTTATTTTGTCATTTGTGTGCTGTGTTGCCGATTTTGGTCCCTAATTTGCCAGTTGCTGGGGGGGGGTCGCAGGAAGGGGAGGGGGGGGGGGGGGGTCGAGCTGTCTGCACCTCAGTTTGCCAGACCCTTATTTTGCCCTTAATTTGACACTTATTTTGGTCCTTATTTTGTCATTTGTGTGCTGTGTTGCCGATTTGGTCCCTAATTTGCCAGTTGCTGGGGGGGGTCGCAGGAAGGGGAGGGGGGGGTCAAATAAGGAGAAAATAAGGGCAAAATAAGGGTCAAATAGTGGCAAACTGAGGTGCAGACAGCTTGACACCCCTCTCCCCCGGCCCACTTATTTTTGTCCTAATTTTGTCATTTGTGTGCTGTTTTGCTGGGGGAGGGGGGGGGTGGCAGGAAGGGGGGGGGGGCAGGGGGGGGGGGGTTTTGGGGGGGTGGTTGGGGGGGGGGTGGTTGGGGGGGGGGGGGGGGGGGTGCAGCCCAAGTTCGAAAAAAAAAAAAACCAACCCACACGACCCGCCCAGGCTGTTCAAGCTACTCTGCCACCGAGGACAACCGAGGACACGCTCGCTTCTCCTGCCATAATTATAATAAGCGGGGCTCATCAGCGTGTTGCATCACATCAGCCAAAGCAGATTACGATGACTCAGACGTGTCACGCTGCTTCGGCTCAATTATCAAGGGCTGACTGTTCTCTAGCTGACTATGCCAAGGGCCACTGACCATGAAACGGCCGGCTGCTGCACAGCGATGCCTCAAACAGCCTGACGCCCGCAAGAATCAGAAGAA